TCTGCTTCCTTAGGCGATGCCCGAACCTAACTCTGCTTCACATCGACCTATCGACGCTGCACCAGTTTACAAGGCAGGAGCCGCATTATCTTGTGTTTCCGGTAAGTATGTACCTGAGATTTCTCAATGCTTAATGACTTTTATTCATAAACTGACCATGTTAGTCTATTTATTACTCATTAAGCACGGTCAGTTATATAGAATTCTATATCAAAACAGGTAGTTCATAGCGTTGATATAGAAGAATTCTTTATAAAATGTCAGCTTCAAACTCAGATGGTGGTACAGGATGACACATGCAAGTTTATTGTGAGCAACAAACTTTGAGTAACTAATTATCTGGTTGAATATTTGTAAGAGTTAGCTAACTTTATTTGACATTGGATGTGCTTGGATGAATGTGCATTTCTAGCTGTTGGGCGTTAGTCTGGTGAACACATATTTGACGTGAACCTAACTGAAGAAATACTAGAAATAACATGTAGTCCTAGGCTCCTAGCAACATATAGAGCTTGTGATTTGAACATACTATAAAACTGCTTAGATCTTCTTGGTTTATATATGACCGATCAAGATTCTCCTTTTCACATATATATAGCATCGTAAACTGAAATTGAAGTTGAAACTTTATATGATGAGATTATTTGGAATTGTGATAAACGTAATTGCATCTGCATGTGTCTTTGGAATTCTTTCTGTCAATTTGATTTTTAACCCATATCATTTATGTTTCACTCCCAACTGAACTGTCAGGATGATGATGCTGAAACTAAAGCTGCAAAGCCATGTCAAGACCGTGAATATGATCCGCCTAAAGCACACAAATATCAATTGCAACTAGGCTCTCTTCGAAAGATAAGAATCAGTGGCTTTGCCGGAACGGATGCTGAGATGGAGCCGAGCGGTCGGCGCTCGAGGGGATATCTATATCATCATTTGCACAGCTGAAGGATCGCATTGGCAGGATCGCCCAGAAGATGATGGCTCGGTTCCCTCTTGCGGGAGGGCGCTGGGAGACCTCCCCCTTGGAAGAGATCACGTGGACGAAGAACAATGACGGGCTGGAAATATCAAATGCTCTTAGGTCAACAACCATAATGTAGTTGCAGATATATGTTGAGCAATGGAATGTACTACGTAGCACCTATGATCAGTTGGTGCTTCCGTTCAGTTTTCCTTAAATTCAGATTCTATTTATGCATGTCTTGCATAGAAAATCTTGTGAAATTCCTGTGTTGCAAGCATGTCGGAAGTACTATTTGGTTGACACAAACTGGTGCAAAGTGCATGCGAACATGCGGTTTGTACGAGGGATGTTATTTCCGTGCGCGAGCAGATGAGCCGAGCCTTCATTTTGGCGACTGAGTTGGGGCTGAACTCCTTGTCTATCCACAGGTTCAGTTTCTGAAAATGTTTGTGCCTCAGTGCCTGAAATTATCCTCCTCCTCCTCAATCCAACAGGAAGAAACCAGCCGACGAGCATTTGTCAGCAACTCAATCAACTCTTGCACCTTGTTTCAATTTTTTTCTTGTTTAAAAAAAACAACAACTCTTGCATCTCTGCGGATGCAGACGACGAATATGTCGTGGCTGCATCATTCAGGAAACGAAAACCCACATTTTTTTGCACTGCAACTTTTCCAAGTACACATGTTGTAGTGTACTATATTTTGTGTCTAGGATCTTCTGCAACTTTGTCGACACAGATATGACCTTATCTGCAAGATTCCTGAGAAGTTTGTGACCCAAAAAATATTCCTCAGTGTAGCATCTTTTTTTTTAAGCATCAGTACAGACACAAGCGCTCATATACACGTACATACACTCACCCTTATGAACGCACACACGCACACGCTACCCCTACGAGCACCTCCGAAAAACTGAGCCGGCATATCATCTTGAAATTTACGAAGCCACTGATATGCAACCCGTCCGTTCCAAGCAGGGAGAAAGCAAAGGATGAACAGTGGGCATCACGAAAATAAAATCAGCACCATAGTACATCCAATCGGCGTGATGTGCACCGGTTCATGCCCCCAAAGCAGCTAGTCAATCAAATCATGCACATTTTCGCAGATGCCGGTGACCAAAGATATCTGCCCGCTGTTCTGGCCGCGTCATTCAGAGAAACAAGATCACATTTTCGTAGCTCAACTATTGCAAGTACCACTCATGTTGTATGGACGCGACTATTCTGCGCTCGGGATCAGAGGAGCCCAGGTGTGATTTTTTTTGATTATTTTATGATGCAAGATGCTCATGTATGTATTTGAGCATTTTACACCACACACACAAAAAAGATTTTTTTTGATTTTTTCTGCAATTTTTGTATTTTCACTGTCTATCAGGTGTACATAAGTCCGGACATCGAATTGAAATATTAGTTTGGTTTCAACTTTTTTTTTGCAGCCCTTTTATATGCACATATGGCTTACAAAATCATGTGCGTCTGTACTACACATTTATAGACTTGACAGTAATGCTTGTATCTTTTGGGTTTATTTTGGTCTTTTAGGTGATGTTTTATTCAGTGAGAGTCGATATTCTCTGCAAGGCACCTGTGACAATTTTATCGATTTCAAGATGTTGTGTCGGCTCAGTGTTTTGAACGTGATAATAGGTGTTTGGTATGTGGGCATCCGTGTTTGTAAGTATACCGTGTTAGGGACCCTTCCGTTTCCTGTTTTGGTTCCAACACAATCGGGCTACCTCCTCCCAAGAAAAGTCTAGGGTTCCTCTGCTTCTTGTCAGCGTCGCCGTTGGTCCGCGTCTTCTCCGGTGGCCTTAGCGTCATGGTGACGCGGTGGATCTCGGCCCTTGCCAGCGGGAGGGCTCTGCTTTCATTTATATCTTCGCGTTTTGTTAAGGTTTGTGTCCTGCTCAGAAAGACGAGATGACGGTGGCTCTCTAGCCCCTGTTCCGATGTTGTGTCTAGCATCATCGGTGGGCGTGTGGAGGTGTATCTCCGGCGAATCTGTCCTAGGTGGATTTTTCTCGGATCTTGTCGTAGTACGCTTATGTTCATGTGGTTTCAGGTTGGATCTTTCCGATCTACGCTACTCTTCATTAGCGTCGGTTGTTATTCTTCTGCGTTGGTCCTATGAGGTCTTACCACGACGACTTCCCGACTGTCTACTACAATAAGTTTTACCCGGCTCCGGTAAAGGAGAACCAATGATCAGCGGCGCGCCTTCGGCTTGCTTTAGTGCTTGTAGTCGTCGCTAGGTGGTTTACGGATCCGGATGTAATTTTTATTATTTCTGGTGTTCGTTGTACTGTCGTGGCAAGATTATGTTTTCTCGAAAAAAAAGCATACGGTGTTGTATTCTTGCACCGGCGGAACGAAGTTACGCCACGTGTCGCGGCCCGGGACGCGCACGAACCGTTCCGGTCGCCGTGTACTATCATCATCTGCTTTATTTATTGGTTTATTATGTATTTAATTAATTAATATTAATAAAATTTCTCCGGCCGCGACAGCACTTTGCATTATTTATTGCTCCGGCCGCGTCGCAATAATGCTCCTGCTGCCGTGGAGCGAAATCCTTGTCCCGGAATTTTCTCTCGCCCGCCGTGGCCCGTGGGCATCGTCTCGTCTGCGGATTCCTCCTTCCATCCAGTCCAGCGCTTTCTCCTCGCTCCCACCCCACCCCACCCCACCCTTCCCCTCCCCTCCAATAGCCAAGCAAGAACCGGGACACAAGCAAGAGGACGGAATACCACCATCGCTTCCCCTCCGGCCAACACCC